TATATAAGTAAAAACACAGATACCCATTGAGATATAGAAAAATATGAATATCAAAATAGAATGAGGTGTCTTCTCACCTTCTCTCGGCCGCTTTCTCGGGTGCCATTCTCTCTTCCCACCTCCTCTCGTATCTTTCCCCTCTCGCATCTCTCTCCCCACGCTCTAACCTTCGCTAACACGCTCCCGCCGCCGTCTCTCCGGCAGGCACGACAAGCCTACCGACCCGGACGACCCGCTAGCTGACCAGAACATCAAGGATCGTTACTACGGCGTTAACGACCCCGTCGCGGACAAGCTGATGCGACGCGCTGCGACGATGCCGGGCATCTCACCGCCGGAGGACCGATCGATCACGACGCTCTACGTGGGCGGCCTGGGCGACAAGGTCACCGAGAAGGACCTGAGGTAACGTAGCGACTGTGCAGTGTTCATTAGAAGGGGACAGGGTCACATAGAAATAATGTACTCTCACTAACTCTCTCCCTCTCTCTCTCTCTCTCGCGCGCGCGCTTGCAGAACTACGTTTCATTCCTCTAACTCTCTCTACTCGTGCGGGCGTAGGGACTGCTAACCCCTCCTCTCTCTCTCTCTTTCTTCTCACATGCAGGGACCCTAACTCTAACCCTAACTCTAACCCTCTTCTCTCTCTCTCTTTCTTCTCACATGCAGGGACCACTTCTACCAGTTCGGTGAGATTCGCAGTGTGAACGTCATCCCGAAGCAGCAGTGCGCCTTCGTTCAGTTCACGAACCGGTCGACGGCGGAGGCTGCGGCCGAGGCTTCATTCAACAAGCTCATCGTTAACGGCCGTCGGCTCGTCATCAAGTGGGGCAAGTCGCAGGCGGGCCGCGACGGTGGAGGAGGAGGAGGAGGAGGAGGGCCGGGCGAGGCGGCGGGGCAGGGGCTGGAGCCGGTGCCAGGACTGCCAGGACGTAAGTGTGTGGTGGAGGTGGGGGTGGTGGGCGTGTGTGTGTGTGGGTATGGGAGGGATGTATGCGCGCGTGCATGTGCGTGTGTGCACGCGTGTGTGTGCGCGCGTGCGTGTGTGTGTGTGTGTGTGCGCGCGCGTGCGTGCGTGGGTGAGAGAGTGTGTGTATGTGTCTGTGTTTGCATGTGTGTGCATCCCCTCACGCTCTAGCATTGGAAGAGGAGGAGGTAAGGGAGTTATAGGAAAGAGAGGAGGTAAGGGAGTTATAGGAAAGAGAGGAGGTAAGG